ACCCGCCGGGCCGGGACCTGTTTCGGGCCGATTCCAATTTTCGACGGGTCATAGTTGTTTTTTATTTTTTATTTTTTATTTTAATTTTTTTAACCCGGCGGTTCGATGAACCGCCGAGTCGAGCCGATTCAAATGAACCGGCCCATATGAATTGCCGGGCCAGTTACGGGCCCAACAATTGAGGGCCGTCAACCCGACGGGGCGGGCCGGGCCCGGACCCGGCATCTGGCCATGTCTATATACCATGTTTTAACTAATAATTAATTAAAATAAAAATTAATTGTGAGGCAGCTCACGTGACAACAATTGTCTCTCACGTTAGCTGCAAACATGTTGCTCGACAACTTTTGTCTATTTCTTCCCAACACAAATCCATTAGCTTCACGCGCCATCTCTTTTTTGTGGTGCACCCGAAGTCTTCTAGCCAATGATAAGCTAGTCCACACTACGTGGACTTACATTGTTGCCACGGGCCATCCCGGTCCGCAATCGACCCGTAAATTACCGGTTCCGAGAACCATCACCGTGGCATTACGGGTCGTGTTTGAGTTCGTTTTTTCTATTTTGGTCCCGACATGTCGAAATCGGGTCGGGACAGTCCACGGGCCCAGCCTTTAGTTTTTGGCAGGCCAGTTAAGGGCAGAGACGGATTTAGACAGAGGCCCGTAGGGACACGGGCCCCTATAGAATTTTTTTAATAATATTGTATGTTCGTAATGCTCACTTATCCACGGTGGTCACATTCATATGTCTACGGCTTATGTGACATGCACATATTGGTGATGTATTTTTTGAACATATTAACATTACCAATATGTGCATGTCACATAAGTGGTGGACATATTACCATGTGCCTACCGTGGGTAGGGAGAATTATTCTATAGTATGTATGTGTTATATGTACATATGTATTATTATTTTGACATAAAAAAACATTTTATTAATTATGATGTAAAGTTATTTTAATACATATAAAAAAATAAATGTTTAGAATTATTTAACCTTCAATAATATGTTTTTTTTTTTTAAGTTGTAGAATTTACGCTTATGATGCACTTAATTTCTTGTTTATTTCTTTTTCCCTCACAAAAATCATAGTTTTTAAACTCGGTCCGGAAATCGACCCGGGCAGGTCTCCGGGTCACCGGGTCAACCGCCGGGTCACCAGGTCAATTGCTGAACCGGATAACTATATTTAAAATTTGTAAAATTATATATATATAGTATTTTTGACATATAAATATACATAAAAGTAACAAAACTAAATAGTTTCTATACAAAATTTGTACATTTGAGTGTTAATAATATTGAATCTCACAATAAATATTTACTATGTCATTATATAAACATAGTATTTATTTTTTAAAAAAAAAATATTAAAAAAAAATAAAAAAACTTATAGATATCGATCATAGTTTTTAAACTCGGTCCGGAAATCGACCCGAGCAGGTCTCCGGGTCACCGGGTCAACCGCCGGGTCACCAGGTCAATTGCTGAACTGGATAACTATATTTAAAATTTGTAAAATTATATATATATAGTATTTTTGACATATAAATATATATAAAAATAACAAAACTAATAGTTTGTATACAAAATTTGTACATTTAAGTGTTAATAATATTGAATCTCACAATAAATATTTACTATGTCATTATATAAACATAGTATTTATTTTTTATAAAAAAAAATATTAAAAAAAATAAAAAACTTATAGATACCGGGTCAACTGGGTTGACCCATCGGGTCAATGACCCGGGTCGACCGGGCCAAGGCCGGGTTGGCCGGGTTTTGACCGGGTCCATTGTTACCTGG